TGGGTGCAATGCGGGGCTCTTGAAGACTGTCAGTGTAAGCTGATGCCTCATACGAGCAGGCAGTTACACAATGACAGGAAGAACCAATGAACTACCTAGAGAGTTCAGTGAATCTATGGACTACATAGAGCAACTGAAGTTTTGTAGCAAACGCAGCCGGTAGTTGTAGTTCCCTCATTCACAGAACTCCGAGTTAATAATGCGGACAGGTGGGCAGGGCCCCACATGGCCACGTCTTTTTTAAATCATGACAGCAGGCATGGGGAAAAGATCCCCAGCATGCTGTCACAGCAGAGACTCGGGGGGATGGGGAGGCACGGGGGCAGCTGCAGCAGTGACATGTTATACCCTGAATACGGGTGTAAAATGAAATATGTTATAATGTGTATAATACGTTATAAAATGTGAATTTATTATTTGACTAGCAGAAAGATCAGATTAAGTGCTAGTTCACATGTGCATTGGATGTGGTTTGAACCGCATCCAATCTGCATGACATGTGAAATAACATTGCCTATGGTGACTGTTCACATATGTCCGGTGCACTAGAGGTGCAGATTCAGTGCGGTTTGAAAAATCATCCAGTACAATTTATGAGCAGTGCGGACAGGTTCAGGTGCGATTTTCAGGCTATCGACTTCTATGGGAACCGTTTCTAAACTGCACATGTGCAAACAGGATAAAATCCTGACCTAATCCTGTCCTGAACCTGATGTAAACCTGACATGAACCGCTGAGCAACTACTGTGTCAATTAGCTGTGAAACCTGAGCTTCCATCCGTACCGCACATGTGTGAATAGGCTATACGGAATGGCTCGCACAGGAGAGATACACCACTACTCTCTTCTAGCAGGGTGCTTCTTGTCACGTAGACAGTGCTGGGCTCACCAGAAAACCAGCAAACTTTGGCAACTGAGTGTAATGGATTTGCCCTTTATCAAATATTTATTTGTAAAACAAATATTTTTTTTTAAGAAACCATGTACAGTTTAGAAACCTGTACTATTTCAAGAAAGAACTGATCAAAAAAAAAAAAGTGTACAAAAAAGTATGATTTACGTAAAAATCATACAACCCTAACATGGTCACTGGTGTAAATATTGTCAGCAGTTCACTGAGAAAACCAAGGACAGATTAAAAATGGGGATCTCTGCAGGGTGGAAATATGTCAGGGATATTTATTTATTTCAGGTACTTCTATAGCGCCATCAATTTACGCAGCACTTTACATATATATATTGTACATTCACATCAGTCCCTAACCCTCAAGGGGCGTACAATCTAAGATCCCCAACTCACATTCATACATACACATACTAGGGACAATTTAGACAGGAGCCAATTAACCTACCAGCATGTCTTTGAAGTGTGGGCGGAAACCAGAGTACCCGGAAGAAACCCATGCAGGCACAGGGAGAACACACAAACTCCAGGCAGGTGGTGCCGTGGTTGGGATTTGAACCAGCAACCCTAGTACTGCCAGGCAGATGTGCTAACCACTTAGCCACTGTGCCGCCCGTATAAGAAAAAGGCACAGCCATATGGGAAACCGTTATTTGTGTAATTATGCTGTATTTGTCACTGAACATTTAAAAATGGATTTACACTGTCCCCAACAGAAGGCACAAACATGCAAGACGAAACACTGTCATTGTAAAATATGGTGACACTATATTTCATAGCAACCTTCGAGAAGAAAAAAAAGTTTTCAGAGCAAGGCTGCTTTGGAGCCAAAAGAAAGAAAAACGCCATTAATTTCTTGTGACTAGTAACCTTAATTCAGTTTGATTTATCCTGCGGAGTGAGAGCAGGCATATAAATTTTAAGTGCAATCCACCTTTCCATGTGCATTACATCCTCAGTCCTGAAAACAGAACCAGCTATTTCACCGGTGCAGAGGTCAGACAAAGGCTGAGATTGGAAGGGCCTTGCTTTCTTTCTTCCACAGTTAATAAAATGGATAAGAAGCTGTAGTCGCCCTTTTGAAGGTCTCTTTTAGTGAGTCGTTTAGTGAAAGTGTGGAGGCGACTTTTATCTGCAGGAGAAATCGTGGGGGGATGACAGGTAATGATACAAATGTGCAGACGGTAAAGAGACACATTCACAGCACACGGCTGTCAAGCAACAAAAATGAAAAAAAAAAAAAACAACTATGATGCTTTGTGTCACATCACATTAGAACATGCTTAGATGTTGTATGTACGGAGAGTACGTTTTGCAAATCAGAGGTCTGTCTGGAGGCAGTTTGGACAAAAAAAAACTGCTTGCTGCTGGAGAAGCTTTTCTCAGGCAACATCCTATTCCCAAGGGCTTCAAAAAAACAAACTAACTACACACTATAAATCAGTCCGAGGTCCTGCATTGAATCCTGTCTGCAGCCTTGGAGCCCTAATATGTAATGAAGGGCCTAGAAACAATCTTCAAAGAACTCTACTTTATGGATAATCCTCATTCCACTGAGGAACGCTGAAGCCTTCAAATGACTGGACTTCAGTTTGCTCTGACATCTGAGCTAAAGCCACCACTACCACTAGCAAACGCCTAGTCATCAAGCAGAAACAACAACAAAAATGGGTTTGTTGGTGTCTAAAAAGGCAACCTTTAAATCTTTGGCCTCCTTCAATCTGCTTTTTATTTGCAGATAGAAAAGTAAAGAAAGAAGAAATCAGAGAATAAAGGTAACAAAGAGATTTTTTTTAAGGACTGACTTTCATCCAGCAATGGCCTTATCTTGAAATATACAGTACTGTGCAAAAGTTGAAAGCTTAGTAATACACGATCAGAAAATCATACGAAAAATACGGCTTTCGAAGCGATCGTACAATAATCTGATAGTATACAGCTTTCGTTCAAAATTATTGGAGAGACAAGCACGGATGTTTTTTTTGTACGATTCCAGATTGAGCGATTTTCGTTTAATCAGCACAGTTTTCGTCCGAAAATACAATACGAATGCATTACATCACTTCCGAATTTTTATTCTGTCGTACAAGAATTTTTGAAACTTTAGTAACCTCCTTACTGTCGATATCAGACTAGCATGCAAAAACAAACCCGACGATCAATCGTCTGATATTCTCATTGTTTGTACAAGGCTTTAGTTGGGCAGCTTAGCCTTGTTTCCATGTCCTAGGTATGAAAATATAGGAATTGGGGTGCAGAAAAATGGCAGTAGGTCCTCTGGACTGTTGAGTGGAAATCTGAAATATTTGGCTGTAGTAGGAGGCAGTTTGTTCACCGAAAGGCCGGACAGCGGTACAATAATGAGTGTCTGCAGGCAACAGTGAAGAAAGTTCTGGGCTGCATTTCTGCGAATAGAATTGGAGATTTGGTCGGGATCAATGGTGTCCTAAATTCTGAGAAATATAGGCAGATATTCCATACCATCAAAGAGGCGTGATATTGGCCCCAAATGTATTCTGCAGCAGAACAATGACCCCAAACATGCAGCCAATGTCAATAAGAACTATCTTCAGAGTAAAGAAGAACAAGGAGTCCTGGAAGTGATGGTTTGGCCCCCACAGAGCCCGGATCTCTATATCATGGAGTCCGGGATTACAAGAAGAGACAGACGGATTTGAGGCATCCACAGAAGATATGTAGCTGTTTGGAACAACCTACCTGCTGAGTTCCTTCAAAAACTGTGTGCAAGTGTACCTAGAAGAACGTAATTGATGCTGTTTTGAAGGAAAAGGGTGGTCACACCAAATACTGATTTGATTTTGATTCCTCTTCTATTCATTTACTTTCCATTTTGTTAATTGATGAAAATAAAATGATTAACATGTCTATTTCTGAAAGCATACATAAGTTATTGCATTTTTTCACACTTGCCAAAAATTTTTGCACAGAAATTGCTCCTTGAGCTCACAACAAATGACACACTCAAAGCCATACTAAACAAGTTTCCTAGATCAAGGTTTGCACCTCACAGGATAATCTCTTTCCCACCTGCCCTGCATGCGTCTTCAGCCATTATGTCAGGAAAAACATTTTTATTGAAGGCGCACTTATGCAACAGAAAAGGCGACTGTCGTTAGAATTTCTCCATTCTTCTACATCCTGTTATCCAGAATTTCTTTTGAAAGAGCAACATTTTCAATGGTTTCAATACAACAACAAGGCAACCAGCAGCACCCTTGGCACATGCCACATGACAAAAGATTCTTTTCAGGTCTTCGAAATACCAAACCCAAAGAAAGAACTCCATGGTTTATGCTTTGGATAGCATTCTCTTTAAAATTTTAACCAAAAAATTCACACAAAAAAACTATTACACATTCTGAGTTTTGCCTTAAACTGGCATTTTATAAATCATCAATTATTACAATAAACCTTAACTGAATAAAAACATGTAATTTACAGATAAAAAGTGCACACGACTTTGTGCCAATAGTTAGATAAAATAATTTCATCTCTGCGCCATATTTTCACTCTTCATTAGAAAGTGAAACCAATTGCACTTAAGGTATGAAAAGGGAAGTAATTAGCACTTGGCAAAATATATTTTTTTAATGGCTATGTTAGGAATGCTGTCTTTTTATTTTTTCCCAAGGACTGAGGTGGTGTTTTTGACATTTGATAATCTCCAGTTCCAACTTTTTGTTTCTTTTTTTGATTGTCGAGGATGTCAAGGATTTTGGATAAGAAGATTCCCCTGTAGCCGAGACAATTTAAGGCTTTCAAATAAGGCAAAATGTAAATTATTTTGTGTTATCTGTGATTGTACTGACCCTGTCCCATCACCTTCTGGATCTCATACAAGATGCTACATCCTCCTCAGGGAAAGCGGTCTTCTCCTCCTGAGATGCAGGATGCTGGGAACACCAGACATCATACCCACAACATCTGTTCTTTCTGAGGTTTCCAGACTTGCAGCCACTGATTGTAACCCCTAAGTTCCCATCTTGTTTTGCTTTATAGTATTTTGAGGAGAGACCCCCTTTGGCACATGTCTACTTCAGACAAAATTGTCTCTCTGGTCCAAAGTAGTTTTAATTTAAGCAAGCGCTAGTGCACACCATGAGTCCTGACGAAGAGGAACATTGATTCCTGACTGTTGGCTCAAGCCAGTTTGACTGAAGGGGTATTCATCTGAAATAAATTTTAGCTCATGGGACCCAGGTACAAGATCATCTGTTTGACCCTATAAACAAAAAAAATAATACATGAGACCATCTATGCTATTATGCTAGTGGAGCAGATTAACAACCATAGTTGACCATATTTCATGTGTGATCCCATAATGAAACATTCATTATTTGGGTACGGCTATGGGTGCGAACCACCATGCTTTTGTTATTTTATTAATACAAATTTTAAAATCACTTTTCTTTTACTAATTAGATATACAGCCCTCTGTTCCTTATGCAAAAGGATATAACATTTCTATTACTTGCAGTACATTTTTCTGCTATCACAGCCATGATTTATAGTCATTTCTGTACAACGCGGCTGCTCTCACATATTTACACATTAAAATAATAACAATAATCATGAAATTACAAGATTGATTGAAGGAAGGGAAAGGTTTTTTTATGTTGGTCATAGCATTTAAATTTCAGATGTAATTTGATGTACAAGGTAAAAACTTGTAAAGTTGTTAATGAGAATAAAGAAAGCCACCATCTGTCAATTTGGGTGCCTTACCTGGGAAGCAGCTCCCATTCCCTGCCCCGAGTACTGTACAGAGAGAGCGGGTTCTGTTTTTAATACCGGTGTAGTGTCTGTTGTAACTGAGGACGGTGAGGTATTAGCCGAGGCTGATGACCCTAGAAAAGCATACCAGATTTAATTAGAGATGGAATGCCAACAGCTACAAAATACCACATATACTGTACAAGTGCATCAGGGGACCAATCTGGACAGTTGACATTAAATGCTCAGAAAAGAAAGGAGTGGACAGTCACAATAGGGCACTGCACCTTTTATTGTGTGTTGAAGAGCCCTTTAGTATTTGAAGATTAATTTGATAGTCTGATATCTTTGATTACCTGTGGAGTTCTTTCCCTTAACATTTTTGGGCTTCCTCTTTCGTGTCTGTATGATTTCTTTCTTCATGGCTAGAGGTCGAGGAACCTAAAGCAAAAGGATAATTTTTTAAAACATTTCTATAGGGGGTGAGAGGTAACATTGATTTTAGTGTTTAACAATTCAGTGACTATTTTTTCTCTCTCCTTTTTTACAATTTTACCTGGCTCTGCCTACAGTTATAGCTGTTTCCCAAACCTGTTCTCAAGTTCTGTAAACAGGTCAAACTCAGTTCTTGAGGCTTTAAAATGATATTAAAGGTTTAGGGTTTTTTCCTTTTAAGAACATGTCATACTTAACTACTCTGTGTAATGTTTTTGCACACAGCAACTCCGGTTTTCTCCTTCTTAGTTCCCCTGCTGCTGCTTCTGGCTCCTTCCTCTTGACTAGTGCGTGCTCACTCCCGAGCCCCACTCTATGCATCCATAAGTGACACAGAGTCATGGTTAGGCCCCACCCCCACTCTCTCTTCATTTTCTCACTGGCTGTGATTGACAGCAGTAGAAGCCAATGGCTCCCACTACTGTGTTTCAGCCAATGTGGAGACAGAGACCCGGGACAGCCAAGACTCCCAAGCACATCACCGGATCAAGAGGGGGCTTAAGCGTGTATTAGGGGGGCTGTGGGAGAGCTACACACAGAAGGTTTTTTACCTTCATGCATGAAGGTAAAAAAACCTGTAGCCTTTACAACCACTTTGAATGCTCCTGATCATTATGTCCTTGCACAGATATCTCAGCTTGTTAGTTGAAGAGGATATATTCAGCACTGATTAGGAAAGTTTTATACAATGTTCGGGGTTAAATAGTGATATGCTGGTGATATATGGCTCAAATTCCATTTAATTCCTAATTAATTGGCTGAAATTTGATCTATGGGTGGCACTGCCGGCACCACCCAACTCGACAAACTGTAATCTAAAAATCAAAAGTGTCAGGCAGGAAATTCTCGTGTGATCGGCAACATTAGCTCTTGCAGTGTCTAAACTATCAACAGAGGTTTTGGTTACAGTAGATGGAATAGATGTATCTATAAAGAGTGTCTCCCTGTGGCTTCTACACTGACTGCATAAGGAAGCACAGGTGACTGGAGCTGGGTTGCATTTTTTTTCCACAAAGAAGCCCAATCAACAATGAGAAAAACTATAACTGATTTTCCTAATGTCTAGATTAGGGGAAATTAATTAAAATTCAAGGAGTTCTGATTGCTAGAATTTTCTTTGAGCCGAGGTCCAAATCTCTTTAAGTAAAAGCAAATAGAACCACCTTACATAAGGCATCCCCATTAAAGTACCTCTTAGTTCAGCTGCTCCCATCAGAGTACCCCCTTGCAGTGGGCAGCACAGTGGCTAAATGGTTAGCACTTTCTCCTGGCAGTACTAGGGTTGTTGATTCGAATATCAACCACTGCACCACCTGCCTGGCGTTTGCATGTTCTTCCTGTGCGGGTTTCCTCCCGCACTCCAAAGACATGCTGGTAGGTTAATTGGATAATGTCTAAATTGGCCCTAGTACGTTAGGGACATTAGAATGCACACCCCTTGAGGGTTAGGGACTGATGTGAATGTACAATATATATGTAAAGCGCTGTGCAAATTGACGGCGCTATATAAGTACCTGTAATGAATAATAAATAATATCTGGCATCACCATACATGAGGTTCCCCCATCAGTGTGCCCTCATATCAGGTGTCTTCAGTAGGGTTCCCCCTTACATCAGGTGTCCCCATCAGAAGGCCACCGCATATCAGATTCCCGCATCATAGTGCTCCCATATCACAGTACCCCCATACATCAGGTTTCCCCCATCAGATTGTCTCCACACATCATATTCCCCATCAGAGTCTCACTATAGATCAGTAGATTCCAGATTCCCCATCAGAGTCTCACTATAGATCAGTAGATTCCATTAGAGCCAGGTGGGGACTGGAATTGGGAGGAGAAGTGTGCTGCAGGGGGTGGGGCACACACACGACATCATTGATTGCTATGATGCCAGTAATCCTAACAAACAATGACTGCAGGTTAGTGAGGATCCAGCACAGCAGAGTGGTGGGCCGAAAGTCTGGACTGGGCTGTCAGTAGGTCCAGATCGAGACTGCGGTCCACCATTAAGTGAAGGCTGGTCTATATGATCTTCTAAACAACGCTAAACACCATGTATAAATACGGGGAAGAAATATGGATTTGTTTCTTATGAAATTCAATCTCACAACACAAGCATTCTCCATTCTGCTTTTTAAAACAAATTAGACTGTGTCAGGTTTGTTTATTGAAAAGTCCATGGTCATTACCAAGATGCTTTATATATTCCAGCCATCCAGACCACTGCCAGTAAAATGCTATGAAAGCCCTCTTGTGACACAGATTCTTACCCCATGTAATTTCATGTAAAGGCCGCAGGCGTTGCACACTGGTTCTCCATCTGAGTTTCGCCTCCACAAGGTTGTGGTAGTTGTGTGGCAATTTGTACAGCAGAGTCCGGCACGTCGAGAGGAAGACTGCAGGAAGAGAGAAAGTAATAACTCACTGAGGTGTTTCTGTTACTTTCTTTGTAGTTTGGAATTTGCATGCTTTGGAAACATGTTTTATACTGTCATTACACTTTAAAACAAGTGACCTAATGGTGCTCAGTGTCTGAAAGAATTCATTTTATTTCCCTTCACAATTAATAAAATTATTCCTTAAAATTGTTAATGTGCTCTGGGGGGAAAAGAAAAGATTATTGGTTGCCAGGAGAAACATAGATGCTTTCATGTAAGGCACTTTTGACAACTGTTTCAAGCAAAGCAGATTGAACTTAAATCTCTTATAAACATTAACTTTTTTTTATAATTTTTAAACTTTTTCTTTGTCAAAGAATTTTATTGAAACACTGGTTAGTACAAACAACTTATTGCCCGCACAAGCCATGAAATAAACAACCAAGAAAGTGAGATGGCAATGATAAAACATTTTAAAACTTTACAATCAGTACAATGCCGCCTAGAAACCAAGGTTCCAACGCGGCTTCTATGATTCGGGAGCCATGCCCGAGAGATCAAACAATAGGTACTAGCAGCCAGACAGTGGCGTTTCATTTAACCTGAGGATAGAGGTAGAGGGTAAACCAGAGAAAGAGGGAGAGGAAAGGAAGGGAAATCAGTCAGCTGGAGATCAAGAAGGAAGAAGAAAGTTTTTCTCCCGCAAGTCTAAAAATCAGTGAGTCCCCAAACCCAGTGGAGATAGATTGGGAAAGTCATAGACTTTTTTTTACTTTTTACTCTGTAGTTTTCAGTAGAATAACACCTGGTGACCCCGCCATGAAGGTCAGAGTTCATGCACCTCCTGTTATGTGGGAACAACTGTCTCCTAACCAGGGGCGGACTGACAACTCATGGGGCCCCCGGGCAATAGGGGATCATGGGGCCCCTGTGTGTCCTCACTCACACCCAAAAAAGCCTATGAAAAAGCCAATGAAAGGTACCAGGGGCATCTCATGGGCCCCCTACTGACCCGGGCCCTCGGGCAGTGCTCGAGTGCTCGAATGGTCAGTCCGCCCCTGCTCCAAACATGCTCCTGCGTTGTCATCCTGACACGTTGCACAGGTATGGTTCACTGTTGTCATCATCATCAGGACAGCCTAGAGAGCAATGATATGCAAGCAACACTGGAGCAAGTACAGGTAGACACGAAATGGTCACAAGAGGGTGCAGGAGACCTGCAGGACTAATATGCAAAAAGGATGAAAAAAAAAATTATGAAAACAGTATTTTATGAAAAATAAACATGACAACTATTTATGATACATGGGGAAAACGAAATGTCATCCAGTAAGGATTTACATCTACTTTAACATAAAAAGTGCTTTACTGGTCTAAAAACACCACGTCGCCCTAAACCAAGCAACAAATCATAGCAGATGCATTGAAAGCCGCATTACAACATGGCTAACTCTGATTTAGTGGACTTGTTCATGAGAATGTGTCACTTCGCAATGCGAAAGTGGAAAGAAAGATGGTGGAAAAAGGGAAAAATTACAGCCATGGCTGTGCAACATCATCACACCTCATTTTTTCTTGCGTTTTTGCTATGGTAACCCTGCGTAACTTTATAGCAATGAAGAATGGTGTGACGTTAATCTGTTAACTGTATGGAGGCATTTTTGTAATAGGCAACTTAAAACAGCAAAGAAGGACTTGCTGCAGCCATCACACGGGGATCTCACTGTCTTTTTTGTGTGTTTTTATGCATTTTATAGTACGGAGAATGCAGCAGAGTTAAAGCTGGGAATTCTGTCAAGGAGTTCTCCGTGACATTACAGTGTACAATCAGCGATTCATTTTAAGTGTTGATACAGAAGGAAAGGATTAAAGTGTTTGTCAGTAAGAACTTTTCTTAGTTTTGGAAAGAATGGAAGAGGGATAGAACCCCAGTCAGGTGGGTACCGCTATCTGGAACCCCTTTAGAGAAATTTACCTTCACTTTCACGTGTTGTCCTGTCCTGGCAATAGTTTAATGAAAGCTGTAGTTTTTAAAACAATAAAATTGAGTTTTGAAATGACAGCAAAGTGTAAGCATAGTCAACACTTTCATGTTGTTTTTGTTTTATAGAGCAGGGAGCAACCGTGGTCACTTTAGTTTTGCTGCCTGTGTTCTGTTGGGGAGATTTTCCTTCACTTCCTGTCCCAGAGATGCAACAGGAAGTGAGAGTAAATCTATACAAACAGACAGAAATTCCACTCTTAAACAGCTCTATTCAGAATGGGTATTCCCCATTAGAAGACTTTCTCTCACCTCCTGTTCCTGTGATGGTTCTAAAATATTGGATTTTTCTATCACGTTCTGTCCCACTGACAGAGAGCTCTAGTTTTGGCTTTACATGCACTTTAAGTGGGCCAATCATTTAACCTTACCCTTTTCTCCTTGGTGGTGAGGAAGACCTGGAACATGTCATACTTACCATGCACAAAACAGCCCCAATCCTCTCCTTCTCAGGTCCCTCGCTGGCGCTTCTGGCTCCTCCCTTTTGACAAGTGACCCAATAGCAAGCCGATTGCTATGGAGGCAATGGTGCATGCTCACCGCTGAGCCCTGTTCTATGTGTCCCATAAGACACATAGAGCCGCGGCTCAGCTCCGCCCCCTCCTCACTGGCTGTGAGTGACAGCAGTGTGAGCCAATGGCTCCCGCTGCTGTGTCTCAGCCAATGAGGAGGAGGCTCAGGAAAGCATCTGCTCTCATGCACACCATTGGATCAGGATCAGGCTCAGGTGAGTATAAATGGGGGCTGAGGGGGGAGCTGCACACTGAAGGTTTTTTACCTTCATGTATAGAATGTACAATGTATAAACCTTCAGGCTTTAGATCCACTTTAACACATCGATATGTATGGTAAGCCAATCTCTTACATATGTATTCTGGAAAACACTACAGATCAGGGGCAGACTGACCATTCGAGCGCTCGGGCACTGCCCGAGGGCCCGGGATCAGTAGGGGGCCCCATGAAATGCCACTGGTACCTTTTTATAGGCTTTTTTTGAGTGTAGGCAAGGACACAGGGGCCCCATGATCCCCTATTGCCCGGGGGCCCCATGAGTTGTCAGTCCGCCCCTGCTACAGATAGAGAACATCAGCAAGTATGACCTCTCTCATAGCAGAGTTGTGGCTGCTTGAATCTGGGTACTGTTGTCAATATCTCTAATTCTCTTCCTTTTTGTTTTTATACAGGAGGTCCTTTAATGACTATTTTGCCTGAGTTGACCAAACCCATCCATTTGGGTCTGGTCTGGATTTATCGAATTCAAATTTATTGTGGGAACAAGAAGTAGGAAGTTTGTGCAACACTAAAAACTATCCCCAACCAAAAAACAAGTACACAATAAAATTAATGAGACATTCTCGTTTTTATATACAACATAAATTAGTTTCACACAAACCCATGAATATAATTAGAACTGGGTCTACTGTTTTCCTATATACTGGACTTCCTGCTTGTCCTGAACAAAAGCAGCCATTGAATCAAACTGGAGACACTGGGGGGATTTACTAAAACTGGAGAGTGCAAAATCTGCATAGAAACCAATCAGCTTCCAGGTTTTATTGTCAAAGCTTCATTGAACAAGCTAAAGTTAGAAGCTGATTGGCTCCCATGCACAGCTGCACCAGATTCTGAGTGCTCCAGTTTTAGTAAATCAATAATAATGCCATCCAAACACTGCAAGCACCACTCATTAAATCAGAACAGATCATACATTGAGACACCTTGCTAGCTGTTTGTATGTACTGAGCCCTTTCATCTTAAGAAGGGAAGAGTGGCCCAGTGAATACCCTTTTATGACCCATATGTACTGTAGCTCTGAAGCACTACAGCAAATTTTGAAAGCGAAAAACAATTTTTTTTTTAAAAATGTAAAAAAGGGAAAAAAAATCATCATCTTGATAATGACTCCATAATGGTTTGGCAATCAGCAAATACTAAGTGTAGATTCACACATGTGCAGTGCAAATTGAAGCTCCGTTTTCATGGCTAATTGATCAGCGGTTCAGGTCAGGTTTATATCAGGATCAGGCCAGGATTTTATCCTGTTTACAACTGATGACACATGTGATTCAGAAGCGTTCCCATAGAAGTCAAAGAGCCTGAATTTGCACCTGAGCTGGACCACACTGCTCAGAAAACTGACAGGGCTCTATTTCAATTCTCACTGAATCTGCACTCCACCATATGTGAACAGGCACCATAGAAGCCAATATTATTTCATATGTCACATGACATATTTCAAATGCAACAAATTCACATATATGTGAACGGGCACTTTGGGGCTGATTTACTGAAACTGGAGAGTGCAAAATCTGGTGCAGCTGTGCATGGAAACCAATCAGCTTCCATTTTTTTTGGCAAAGCTGAAAAGAACAAGCTGAAGTTAGAAGCTGATTGGCTGCACCAGATTCTGTGCCAGGGGCGGCACTGCCCAAGGGCCCAGGGTCAGTAGGAGGCCCCTTGAGGGTTAGGGACCTTAGATTGTACGCCCTTGAGGGTTAGGGACCTTAGATTGTACGCCCCTTGAGGGTTAGGGACCTTAGATTGTACACCCCTTGAGGGTTAGTGACCTTAGATTGTACCCCCTTGAGGGTTAGGGACCTTAGATTGTACGCCCCTTGAGGGTTAGGGACCTTAGATTGTACGCCCCTTGAGGGTTAGGGACCTTAGATTGTACGCCCCTTGAGGGTTAGGGACCTTAGATTGTACGCCCCTTGAGGGTTAGGGACCTTAGATTGTACACCCCTTGAGGGTTAGGGACCTTAGATTGTAGGGACCTTAGATTGTACGCCCCTTGAGGGTTAGGGACCTTAGATTGTACACTCCTTGAGGGTGCCCCATGAGTTGTCAGTCCGCCCCTGCTCCTGTACATTAAAAATCCTGCCTGTTTGCCATTTGCTTCAAGTTAATGGTCCACTTTAAGCCCGGGTTCACACTGATGCGGTGCGGAATTAACAGCTGTTTCTGTGCAAATTCCGCA